CATATAAACAATCATTTGAGACAGGCTTCCTACACTTTACATGTTTTCAAGGGTCATCCATGTTATAGTATGTGTCAGTACTTTATTCCTTTTTATGACCAAATAATATTTCAGTATGTGAATATACATACATTTTATTTATTCATCAATCGATAGAAATTTGAGTTTTATTTTGGGATAGTATAAATAATGCTGCTATGAAATTTGTATACAAAGTTTTTGTTTTCAACTATGTTTTCATTTCTCTTGGCTTTATAGCTATGAGCACACAGTGGTTTTTGCACATGAGACTTAAGTTGTGTCTCTGGATCTAAAATATAGTAGAATGGACATGGTCAAATATAATGACTCCCCTTTTTAATTTTGCAAGTTGAAAGATTCTGCAATAATGGAATTGGTCAAAAGCCAGCAGTAAAATGAGCGGTTGGAGGGGGTGGGGGCAAGAAAACTATTTTTTAAGAGAAGAAAGGGAAAAATAGAAAGGAAAGGCTTTCAGACTTACTAACCTTTTAGACAAACATATCTGTTTGCCAACCTACAGAAAAGTTTTTTTTTTCCTTCCTGCTTTTCTCTACTTGCATATACTAATATTTTATTTCATAATTAACAGCTGTGAAGTTACCTGGAGGAAAATTATGCATGTAGATTCCAAGACCAATATGAGAATAGGTTATACCAGCATCCCTGATTAGGTGGCTATATTAGTCCTTTCAAACTTAAAAAAAGGCTTGCCCTGGATAGGCAAGAATACAGGTTTTTCTTCTCTGATTGTATTCATTTATGAAAGCACATTAATTTTCTCCTCCTATCTAAAGCCTCAAATGTCCTAGTGCAGAATAGAGAATATGAGGAAATGTATAATAGTTTAATACAAAGAAATTTCAACTTTATTTTTTAGAATATATAAGAAAAGTAAGGATTCTAATAATGGTTGACCATTTTAAAACACTTCATATGTTCAGTAAATTATATATCCCTTGGGATCTTCTATGTTTAATACAGACTTTTATTTTAATATCAGCCACTAATGTGGAAATCATTTAAAACTGTTGACATTATTCTAGAGGGAATCTAAAAATCTTCTTAGGTTAAGTGCAACTGGAGATTACAGTTACAGAAATAGGAAAGGCAAGATCCCTCCTTCAGTACCTTCTGTGGGCCTGAAAACACAGCCAATGCTGCCTCCGCCCAACACATCTCACCGCCACTCTCATCAGCATCCACCATTGCACAAAACAGATTGGTTTCAACTGTCCCTTCCATAGGACAAACACAAAGCAAATGTTACTGCAGGATAGACTAAAAATGAATGTATAGAGTATTCCCTTATATATTTGGTCTTTCCATTTAAAAAGTCAGTAAATATATTAAGACAATTTCTGTGTCTAATTAGAGCCCTTCAGTAAACCAAAACTTAATTTTATACAAGTCATGAGAGTAGAAGGAATCCTCTCTGTTGACATTACAATGGAGAATAATTATTTTTTGTTTTGCAAATTTTACCAGGCGATCTCCAACAGCATCTCCAAGCAATGTTCATATTACTCCGCCCAGAAGACAACATCAGGCTGGTAAGTTAGTGGTATCCTTATAACTCAATCTTCCTAAAAGGCTGTATAATACAATGAACTCTATGTAGTCATGTTTATGTCCCAACACAGTACCAGGAACTCTGTGGAACAGAAAAGAAGAATGTCATGGTCCTGTTATCAAAGAGCTTAGAATATAATTGAGGATATGAGCTAATGTGAAGTGATGTGAAATAACTTGATAGTTCAAGACTGTTGGTGAGCACCGGTTTGTAAGTTATTGACCATAATGCAATTGAAGTTCAGAAAAGAGGAAACTTGGGGACGTGACCTCATTGAGGGAGGTTTTATGTAGACAGTAGAGCTTGAGCTGGGTCTTAATTTAGATTGGCAGAAAGAAAGGAGACCATGATTTTATTAGGGGACATGACTGAAGCAAAGCACGCGTAGGAAGAGACAAGATGAGAGTGAAATGGCCAAGGCTTTGTGCTGGTCCCAGTTGGGAGACCTGGTCTTTGGTTTTTACTACTCATCTGATGTTGGACAAGTTACATAGCCTGTCTGTGCCTGCTTTCTCATCTCCTTTCTACCTCTCACAGTGTATAGAGTCAAATGGACATGAGACCATACTAAGTATAAAATGCTACCTAAATATAGCAATAATTGTTTCCATAGGGAAGACAAGATACCAGAATACAAGGCAGGCAGATAGGGACTTCATGCTCCAAACTAGAGGTCTCAAACTGGAAGTCCATAGGCTAAAGATGTGTTTTGTTTAGACCACAGTGTTTTTTGTTTTGGTTTTGGTTTGTTTATGTTTGTTTGTTTGTTTGTTTGTTTGGGTTTCTTTTTTAAATCTCAGCCAGAATTTTAAAGTTGAGTGATTTCATGTAAAAATCCAGACTTGGGGCTTTTCTTCAAAAATCAAAAATTCTGGCAACACTGGGACCTTGTTCTCACAAGCCAAACTTGGCTAACTTGGTAGAGGGGAGATCATTGGTGTGGCCCTTGTTCATACTTTACCAACATCTCCACATGTCCTATTGTCTCCTGGACACTATAGCCAGGTGTCACCATTTGTCATCATTCCTTCACCCTTATTTCTTTCATAGTAGAACATCTAACAAAAGTAGGAAAATAAAAATGAGATGAGTGTGTTTCTTTGTGGAAAGTGAGAGGTGTTTCTATACACTTAATATTTATATGACCTACTTCATTCATTTATATTCCCTATCAGGGATGTCCAGCCCACAGGCCACATGCAGCCCAGGATGCCTATGAATGCGGCCCAACACGAAATTGTAAATTTACTTAAAACGTTATGAGATTTTGTTTGTTTTTCATTTGTGTTTGTATATTTAGTGTGTGGTCCAAGACAACTCTTCTTCTTCCAGTGTGGCCCAGAGATGCCAAATGTTGGACACCCCTTCCTCTGAACCTCTAGACTAATACCTGGAATTCATACCTCTACCTCTTCAGTAAGCAGTTACAGGTTTCTGAGCCAAGGAATTACTGGGACAGCTGTAGTATTTAAGAAAGATTCCTCAGAAGCTGAAAGAGAATAGAGAGGAGAAGGCAGCCATCCTAAATTATAGGGGCCTGCTGGGTAGTTCTTGCAGTAATCCAGGTGTGTGGTGATGAACCCTTCCAGGTTATGGCGAGTAACTTGGAAATTGGGTTTTCACGGACGCGTTAAATTCAAGTACTTGATCCATGCTTTCCTCCTCGGAAGAGAAATAATGAGTAGAATTCAAGAATGACTAGAAAATTGATGAGCAGGCCTCTGAACTCTGTGGTAATTACTAACTCTTCATTCACTTAATTATTTTTTTGGTAAAATTCTGTCTTTTTTTCCTCTCAAATGCTGCCCCTACCACTTTGACACAGCCACTGAGAAACTTACTTTGAAATTTAAAGGAACTGAAATTTAAAAATCCTTTCATAATTATCTTACATTCTAATCCTAAGGTAGCATAATGAATGTATGTAAATCTTGTCTATATTTTTTGACATATTTCTGTCTTAAACACTTCTTTATCAGTGAACAAAGTGGAGTGCGGTTCTTACAGCATTAATATCCCAAAATAGTGATACTCTAATTTCAGAGTACATCAGAATCACCTGCAGAACATTGTTAAACTGCCACTTGCTAGACTCCCACCTCAAGAGTTTGATTTGGGGAGGGAGAGGAATGATAATTTGCATTTTAAACAAGTTTCCAAGTGATGCTGATGTTGCTGGTCCAGGAGTCACGCTTTAAACAACTCCTCTAAAACCCGTAATAGTGGTTCCTTGCACATGCCGTATATCCAATAGATATTTGTTGATAGTTTCCAAAAATTGTGTGGTTTAATAGAGCCGAAGCTGATGTGTATTACTCACTCACTTTATCTTTTTCTCATTGATGACCTATGAAGTTTGGATTGCACCTCTAAATGTTAAAATAATTTTAACCATAACAGACATGGGAGAGTATTGAGGAAACAGTTAGGAAGATAGAATTGGCAATTAAGTTCTTTTCTTTCCCTGGTAAAATATTCAGCTTCAGCTGCTTTACATTTATAAAATATAAATTCAGAAAATGTAACTGATGCCTCTGAGTTAATTCAGAGTTCAAATGACAAGCCATTTTATAGTTGTTTGAATTGTTACAAACACATAGTCATTATGTTTCAGATTATTGTGTGAGTCATCTTCAAGAAAATGAGTGAATACATTGTGTGCTTTGGACAAATTAGCACTTTTCTAACTGAAAGGAGCATTTGTGGACTCAAAGCAAAGCCTTTTGTTTTGAGTTAAATTTGGAATCCTAAAACTCTCATTCTGGAGCTTGTGCATAAGGTTAAAAGTTTGATAGTCAACTGAAAGTCCTGCCTTTAATTTTTTAATAACTCAACAACAAATAGAGAACCCACATTTTGCTTCAGCATTAAAAATAGGACTAACTCAATTTTTTCTCCAGAGAACCCTGTGTTCAAATAGTCTCAAGCATTAACTTTAGTACTTAGGAAAACCGCAGCTCGTACAATGAAGACAGCAGCTTTATAGTACTGTTGCACATTATCAAAGACCCATTTATTTAATAAAAAATAGACTGGGAGATTAAGGACTTTCCTGACATTTGAAGTAATATCAACTAATGTTCGTAACTAGAACAGAGGTGTTAATAAGGTACAAGGAAGTGTTTTTGAGTACCTTGCCAGAGAGTTTAAGAAAAATGAAATTTGGGGGTTTTTATAATATATTAATTTTTTCCCAATGGAAAATGGGTTTCCTTTTTCTAAGTATAAATGTCTTAGTCTTTTTAAAATCAGACAGTACAGAAAAGCATAAAAAACAAAGTAAAAATCACTTTGGGTCTTACACTCTGAAAAAGACATTTTGAGCTATTTAGATAAGCAGTCTTCTAGTCAGGTGTGTATGGAAGCAAGCGTATGTGTCAGGTTCTCTGAGATCTGCTCTTACTAAAGTGGACAGGGATGAAAATAACCAAATTTGAGCATCAGAACCTTCTAGTTTACCTGAAGCATGATCTCAGAAGTTCTGAGAAACAAAAGTATAAAGTAATTTAAAGCAATAAGGGTTTATGTCTCGGGGGAGTGGGGTTATAAAGATGACAGTAGATAACTAAGGACATGTCAGTGGGTGAATGAGATTGGGGAGAGGATGTATAAAAAAAGGCTAAGTACTGGGCAAAAATATCTGTCAGAAAGTGTGTTTTTTTTTTTTTTTTTTTTTTTTTTACTTACACAAAAATGAGATAAAAATGAGTGCTGTTTATAACCTGCTTTCTTCACACTTGATCATGGATATTTTCCAATATCAGTAAATAAAACTTTTTTAATGGCTATACAGAATATGTCAGGTTGTTTTATTCAGAATTTTATAAAGATAGATTTAACCAGAGACTCCCTCAAGCTTTTTTTTTTTTTTTTTTTTTTTTTAAGACAGTGTCCTTTAGCTCATTCGTGTCACATGGTCTCTTAATTTTTTATTATTGACATTGCTTTGTTCTTTTGGCGGGAATACAATATTTACATATTTTTGAAACCTTTCTCTGATGAATTGGGTGAGCTGCCTGTCTAGACATTGGGACTTTATACTGTGGCTTCCCTGCAGATAAACATTGCGTGTAGGCACATGATGTCAGTCTCTTGGTGGAAAAAATTAAAGGCAAAGGTACAGTGTGAGCTTGGGGAGAAGTGTTTCCTGGGGTTGGGTGATACTGACAAGAGAAGTTATCGGACCAGATGGTATTTGTAAACTCTTGTGATCAGATGCATTTAAATTAGTTACTGAGGGGAGTTTTAACATTACTCTTTGGAACATATTTTAAGTTTTGAAAATAGTTGGGTTCTTACCTTAGAAATAAAGCAAAAGCAGGAGGTGACTTCTCAGACCTACGTCAGTCCTAGGATTGCTGGATCCAGTTCACCTGAAACTTTTAATAGGATTTCAAGTTTAGGCAGTAAATAGACTTTCTTGGAATAATTTTCTGAGCTGCTATTGCTGCCAAGTTTTAAAATCTAAAACATTGTTTTATATGGACAATTAGAATAAACTGCAGTATTTTTTTCAATGAGAACTTCAGTTAAATGCATCTGAATCATTGTCTTATTCCAGTCACTTATTCCATGTAAGTTCTGGAGACTAGTAACATTGAAATTACTGCCAATTCTAATATTAGGGTATTATATATTACAAACTATCACTTTAAGTTACATTTCTCTGATTGGCTTGATGAATTAAATTAGGTTATTAGATTTTGTTAATCTTCTTCCCACAAGAGGAATGTGAAATGAACCTGAAACCAGAGTGAGTATTCGGTTTTTCTTTATGCTGTGGCACTTAAAGTTTTGTTTAATTCCTTAACCTAGAATCTTTATCCTTAAAAGGAATTTTGGAGCATGGGGTCAATCCCGAAATTGCAGAACTTTTTCTGTTAAAAAAAAGAAATTCTATCTTTTAATTATGATGTAGGAGTTGAACTAATGTCTTTGTGGCTCCTGACTCCCTGATTAAATAAAGCTCCACTTCCCCATTAGTAAGAATTTAGTAATTATTATAGGTACTATCTAGAGGTCCATGATCAAATCCCAAAACCTCTAAGTGCTGTTCTCTCATCTCAGAAGCTTAAAAGTCATTGACTCTGAGATGTGCCAGTTATTCAAGCCTAAGTCAGTACAAGATAACTGGGACCTTTCCCATTAGGTTTGGGATGTTCTGTTGAGATTAGATTAATCAAAGGAGAGCCAGATGTTTGAAATGCTTATGATATGATGGATGGATACAGATTAAATATACATACCACTCTTTAAAAGATGAAAAGTAGTGTTCGCACTGAATATTACAAGAAAACTCTTGCTGCCCACCTGTTAACTTGACCTAATAACTTGCATGACAGTTAAGGTCATACTTATGGAGATCGTTTTCTTTCCTTTTTTCAGCCTCAGTTAACCAATCGGTTGCCACTAGTTGGAGTAGAAGCTGTGGATAAATTATAGAACTACAGTTCCATTGTTCCCATGCCATTTATATTTGAGCCTTGGCAGAAATTCTCAGACCCTTTGCAGAGGATAAAAGAGCCTCTGACATATTCAGGAAACTGAATAGTTGGCTCAAAACTTATTATGGCAAGCCAAAGTTTAGATATATAATAATATCTGAGATCTTGTTTGTGAGAAATTCTAGTTTACCTGCACTGGGTTTCTGGTTAGTCTAATATCTCTTGGAGCATTTTTAGAATCAGAGAGTCATGGACTCCTATCCATAGCTCTATATGTGTAATGCTCACTTGGTCCCAGCTCACTGTGGCTAGACCTTTATCAACTTGAATATTAGTTTCTCTTAGTGAATTTAGGTTGAAGTGCTCTGTTACTTCATGGACTATAAAACCAGCAGTGCAGCTCTCTGCCTTGTGTACTTGGAATCAGAATGTGGGCATTACATTCTTCTTGTCACCTCTTATTAGAAACAAGCTTTAATGTAGCCACTTCTACTGTTTGTGCTTCCCTGGCTTTTCCTAGGAATATAGAAACAAAAAGATAGGCTTGGGAATCTCACCTCTGCCTTGATAGATGGGTTATTTGAGCTATGTAACTATGTCTCTCTTTCTCTTTGCCTGGCCTTTTCACTTTTAGAATAGTGATCATGTTAGGGAAAGGGGACCCCAGGAAGAGCAACACGAAAAGAGTTCCAAACAGAAATGTCTGTCAAATTTCTGACAAATGTCTTGAGCCAGTTAATGTATCTGAAGCTCTCTTTCTCTTCTAAGACAAGGAATGGGGATGGAGTTGTTTTATACTGAAGAAATTGCCTCTAGTATACATTTTCCTGCCTTTCTGTTACTAGAGAAAAAGAAGAATGGACTAAAATTGTACACTGTCTGAGGGCAGGGACCATATTTCTCTTCCACCCTTGAATCCTCAGCACTTATGCTCTGATTGTATACACAGTAAATGTGTGGAAAATATTTGAATGAATGTTGAGTGGAAGCATATTACTTTATATATATATATATATCCCCCCCGGGGCCAGTGTGGCTCAGTTGGTTGGAATGTCATCCATTAGACAGAAGGGTCACAGGTTCAGTTCCCAGTCCAGGGCTTGTTCAAGAAGGCAGCTAATCAGTGTTTCTCTCACAGGGATGTTTCCCTTTCTCTTTCTCTCCCCCACCCCCACCTTCCCTCCTTTTCTCTCTCTAAAAGCAATGAAAAAATGTGCTCAGATGAGGATTTTTATTAACTCCTTGTTAAGAAAATTCCTAAACATAAAAAGTATAAAATATATCCTCATGACCCCATTATCCAGCTTTAATAACTGTCAGCACTTTGCCAAATTTTTTTCATCTAATTCCCTTCTTTTTGTTGTTGTTGTTGTTGTTGTTGTTGTTACATTGTTTAAACCATTTTATTGAGGTATAATGACATACAAAAAGTATTTGTAATATTTGATATATGCAACTTGATGAGTTTGGAGATAAGTAAATACCCATGAAATCATCACCACCGTCTATGCCATAAACATATTCATTACCTCCAAAAGTTTCCTCCAACCCTGTCCTGTCATGATGATGGTGATGATGATGATGGTGATGATAGTGATGATTAGAGCACTTAGGACCTAACCTTTAAGCAAGATTTTTAAAATAGACTTTATTTTTTTAGAGCAGTTTTAGGTTTACAGAAGAATTGAGCAGAAGGTGCAGCATATCCTCAAATAATGTTTCATTCAACATTGTTTTGTTACATTGATGAGATGCCATAGGAGTATAACTTTTTTCCTATCAATTAGCCTATGGCAAAATTGGTTTCACTATATGTTCTTTTGCTTAAAGTTGCAGAACCTATCAATGATACTAAGCGAGGACTTATTGTACAGAGATTTCCCATATACCCTCTATCTCCTCTCACATATAGCCTCTCCCAATATCTCCATCCCCCACCAGAGTTATACATTTGTTACAACTGATAGACATACACTGATATACCATTATCAACTCAATGTCTGTAGTTTACATTAGGGTTTACTCTTGATGTTGTATATTCTATGGGCTTTAATAATGACATGTATCCAACTCTTTAGTAGTAAACAGAGCAGTATCACTGACCTAAAAATCCTCTGTGCTCCTGACAACTATTGATCATTTTACTGACTCCATAGTTTTACCATTTCCAGAATGTGATATAGTTGAACTCAAACAGTATGTAGCCTCTTCAGATTGACTTCTTTCACTCAGTAATATGCATTTAAGGTTCCTCCACATCTTTTCATGACTTGATAGCTCATTTCTTTTTAGTGCTGAATAATATTCCATTTTCTACATGTAATATAAGCTTCTGAAAAAGTTATTTCTTCAATTGTTATTGAAACTAAGGAAAATTTTGTAGTATATAATCTGTAAGAATTCAGTAGAGCAACTCCCATTAGATATTGTTTGCTTTGTACTGTAATTGTTTATGGGACTTGGATCTTTGAGTCCAGTGCTTCCATTCATACAATCTCACATTCCCCTCTTTGATCTTTAGAGCATGACCTGGTAATCGCTATTATTATAAACACTGTGCTAATCATAAACATTTATTTACTGTATGTCAAGCACTGTGCCTTACATGCATTATTTTATATGATTTTACAACCCAATGGAATAGGTATTATTATACCTCCCTCCAATTAATTTAACAACTTTTATAGTTATTTTAAAGATTTGATTTATTTTTAAAGAGAGGGGAAAGCGGGGAGAAAGAGAGGGAGAGAAACACTGATGTGAGAGAGAAACATCAATCAGTTGCCTCTCGCATGCCTCAAACCAGGGGCATGGCCTGTGCCCCAACTTGGGAATCAAACAGGTCAGTGCCCAGCCCACTGAGCCATACCAATCAGGGCACACTTTTATAGTTTTTGTAGTTAATACCTGAGCTTGGATTTGAATGTAGGTCTCCTAACTACTGGCTCCACTGTCTCCCTGAGTGTGCTTTAAGATGCTGGTATAAAAAGGATTAAATGATCTAAAACTAACATTTTCAATTTCTTAATTTCTCTGTTGTCTG